GAAATTTTATTTAAATATTTTAAATATTAAAAAAAATAAATCATAACTAAATTTATACTATTTTTAAGCTAAAATTGGTACACAAACTCTACAGCTTAAGGGATAGATGCTAGGATCATTATGTCTTTTAAGTGTCGCTATAGAAGTTATTTCATTAAATAGTTACTTGATCAATATGAATCTGGAAAAAGTGATAATAATAAAATGAATGTTTTTACTGCTATAAAATTTATTGCCTGGGCATAAAGAGAAATATCATCAGAAACAATAAAAATTGTTTTTAATATACAAAAATTCTTCCAGTTGTTTAAAATAATGATGATGACAAGAAGGAGGAGGAGGACATATTTGATGATGATAATGATTTGATAAAAGAATTGTATAACAATATAGAGATGCTCAATTTTAAAAACACAATAAATTTAGAAAAATATATTAATTATTTAGAGGAAAGATATATAACAGAAATACTAAATAACCAAAAAATTGTAAATCAAGTCACATACCCGGAATCTGAAATAGCTAAAAGTAATGAGGAAGATGATAGTATAGAATTACCCCAAGTTATTCACAATAAAGCATTAGATGCTACACATTTACTAGAGTTGTATCTTTTGCAACAAGACTTTAGTGAGCTAGCTCAGGCAAAACATAATTCGGCTTTATTGAAACTGTCTGGGCTAGTAAGAAAATTCTGGATTGCTTCATTTAAGCAACTAACTATAGAAACTTTCTTTGAACTGATTGTATAATATATGTATAAAATAAAATATTTTTTATAATATCCTCTTTACTTCAAAACTCCCTATTAAACAAAAAAATTTAACTGCCAGAAATAATAATAGCTTAAATTAAAAAATGAAAAAAAACTTATCTTTTTCAAATTTATATTGGCATGTTAATTTTAATCCAATTAAAGTTTATTGAGCTTTGTTTATTTTTTTTCTCTCTAATCAAAGAATAAAAGAGTTTTAAATGGTATGTTTAGTTAACAAGGCCCTTAAAAAAATATAAATAAAGCTAAATCTTGAATTTATATAAAAATTTTAATAAAGTATAGATAAATTGCACTATTTTTTTGTTCAAAAGTTCAGTTATATGAAGCTAAATGACTAAAGACGAAATCAAAAGTATAATTTAAAATTAAGTATAAGCGAATAGTTAAGTGTTAATAAATTTAGTTCAAAAAAAAAAATAATAACTGCTTTAATACAGTAATATGTATCTACAAATAAGAAAAATTTCATTATTATTAACTGATAATCCTACTATGTAATATATATATACTATAATACTATTCTGCTATTGGTTATTCTCTAAATACAATCCTCTTTAAATGCATACCTTGGGGCTGGTCCCAACAGTATGTACTTAGGAAGGTCTGACTGTATGATGAATGATTCAAGCTTTTACTTTGACACAAACAATGGAGTTATTCTTTTACTATTTAATAAAATAATGATTTATCAACTTTGTTTATAGTTATATGAGAATCTTAATATTTTGCAACTGGCAAATCATATGTATTGTCGGGGATGATGCTGAAATCGGATGATGCTGAAATTCACATGATCACATGATGATCTCCGCTATTATATAGTAAAAAATAAAAATTATATTATAACTAGATTTAGTGTTAGTAAACC